GTCTCGGCTACAAGCCACACACAGCATCCACCCCCAGGGTGCACTCACTCTGGGATTGGCGATTCTATTCTGTTGGGGGTCATCGCCAACCCTCAGGGTTTCTGTCTGCAGTCGCTCCAACACTCGGCCTTCACAGCCACCCATGCGACTCGCAGACCCCTGCACTCAGGCCAACCCACTGCACAAGCACATGGGTCAGGGATCCAAACTCTGCATTCGGCTTGGGCTCCACCCCAAGCCACGTTCCCCACCCATCCCCCAAGGACAGGTTCCTCAGCTCTTCACCCTCGCTCAAGAATGAGCAGGGCATCACCCACAGGTGATTTTACGAGACTCACAGGTCTTCAGCATACCCAGGCTGCTTAACAGCCACTCAGGGCTTCCCAAACTTAGCATCAGCACCAGCTTTTGCTTTCTCAGTTGGCTTTTCTCCTCTGCCTGGCTGCTGGGCATACACAGGCTGCTTTTGGCCATCCCACTGGCCACCCCCAGATTCCCAAAAGACATAACTTGCCAAGGTCCTCCACCTTCCGCCAGGGTTGTCAGTCCAAGTCCATCAGTCCAAGTCCATTAGGCCTCTCCCTGCCATCATCACCGGCGAGCTCCGAATCGTGGCCCTCTCTTCCCGACAATTCTTGCTGCTTCAGGGGTTGTTGGTTGGTCCTCTCGGGCGTCTCCTCCTCCAGCTGAGGTCTCATCCCGCAGCTCCCGGACGGTGTCCACCTTCTGTGCCACCATGGCGCCTCCAGCGTCGTCACAGGCAAACACAGTCTGTTACTCCTTAGTCCCTGCAGGTCTTCGGAGGGCTCCATACCCGTCTACATGATCATCTTGCCGACTTACGCCAATTGTAAGGGCAGGAATGGACACAGTGCAGGTTTTCTGATCCAGCAGACCAGGTTAAGGAGGAGTCCTGGATCCCTCAGTGGGTTTTTGCAGGTCTTTTATTGGGGTTCACCAGGCATATGGCAGGCAGGGGTGCTGGGGGGGCGGGAGGCTAGCAGGCCTCCCAGGCCCCAGCAAATCCTCACTCTATCTGGGCTCTCTGCTGTTCTCTCTGCTTCTCAGCTTCTCTTTCGGCTTCCGCTACTTCTTTCTTGGCTTGGCTTCTGCTGGCGTCCCCGTGACGCCGACCTTAAAAGCCCAGTCTCAGCCCAGGTGAATCCCATCTACCTACGCCCATTCCTGGGGAGGTGCCCACTGGGCGAGGAGGTCGGCCACCAAGTACCATCTGCTCGTGGCCGGCCACCCGGCAATCCCTCCCCAGGTTCCAAAGGGTTTCGTCTGCGTAGAGCTGTCCTGCTTCGAACGGTCCTGCTGTCCACGCCAGTTGCAAAGCAACCAACCCATCCCGAGCAGGTTTATGAACAGTTCTAGCAGCCACGTGCTCTTCGCCGTTGTTTGTAGTCGCCGCCCTCCTCCATGCACTCCGCTCCTCCACCCTCGACACCGCACCCCCACCACCCCGCACCCTGCTGCACCACCCTTATAAATCAGTCTCTCAGCTCAGGTGCACCCACCTACGCATGCGCACACCCCACTCCAGGTGCCCGCCATCGGGCATGCACTCAGGACCGCAGGGTTCCGTCATCTAGCCTAGTGGCGGGAGGGCAGAAAAGCCTGGTACCTTTTACCTTACCCTACAGGGGGTTACGACCGCTGGCGCAGAAGCGGGAGACCACAGGCGGGGGGAGCACAAGTGTCCTCCTTCCTCTATTCCAGGACGTCGGGTCCTCCCCCGAGTGTCGAGCGGAGGTGCTCCACAGCTCCCACCACACAGGTGGCGCGTCCAGGTGCAGCTCCTGGACCCCTGCGCCCTGGGAGGGAGCACAGGTGTGGCCAGCCAGAGCCTCTGGGCCTCCCCAGACATCCGTGGCCCAGAATGAGCAGCTGGCCAGAGACACCTGGACTTCATCCGTAACCCGGTTCTGAAGGGCACCGGAGGCCCCCGGGGGACGCCCACAGAGATGCCCCAGCTGCTCGGCCACGCCGCCTCTCGAGACTCCGATCGTCACTCCGGGAGCGGCACTAATTGAGCCGCAACAGGAAGATGAGCAGGTGTCATGGCGCCCAGGCCCGCGCTGCCTGCCGAGGGGACAGCCCCGCGGCGTCCTCAAAGCAATAATTCCATTTTATGTCTTTCACATTTAATAGCAAATTCGCCATTTAATCTTCAAGACAGAAGTTACTTATTCTCAATCTGCGGCTCCGCCACAGCTGTAATCTCATGCCACTCACCGGCCGGGGGCACGGAGACCATCACACTCCCAAATCAGACCCATTTTTTCATTAGCTGCTCCCTTCCTGCGAGGCCGCCTTTACAGCTGGCTGATCAGCAATCAACACCAGTTTGTTTCAATCAGAACCGCGCCCGTAACTTCTCATTTGAAAACCGCTCCTCCAGAAGCACATTAGTGGAGACACAGAGGCCTCCTGATTGTAGCGCCGGCGGGTTTTCTCCTGAAGAGAAAAGGCAGCTGAAACCCCAAAAAGAAGAGAAAGCCCACACGCTCGTGCCTGCCTTGCTGGGCCCGTGCGGCGGGGCTCCCCCGTCGTCCTGGGTCAGCACCTGCTTGGAGTTAGGGACGGGAGAATAAAGCCTGACGGCAGGCTTGGAATGGAGGTGAGGGGGCGCCCCTTACCTTGACCCGCGGCCAGGAGCCCTTTGCTGTTGAAAGGCGGAGGCTGAACCCGGTGGAATCTGACGCGCAGACGCGCGTGTCCCTCCTCTCGGGACAGTGGGGGTCCGGGGTAGTGGGTTTGCCATCCATCCCTCCCAGAGGAAGGAAGGGAGCAGAGGACACGGGCGCCCCCCGGCGCTGGCGGCTGGGCTCATGTCCCAGGGAGGCCCTCTGCCCCGAGTCCCGGTGAGTGGCCAGCGCCAGGGACACTTCAGAGCCGGCTCCCGCACGCTGGGACACGCTGACTCTAATAACAGCTTTAAAATGCTTTTCTTATCTTGCTCATCCTGGCTGGCTTTCACAGGGGAAGTACATGGCCACACACACTCGGAAATGCACTTGTCACAGCTGAGGGACAGCTGGTCACCCCCCCCCCCCCCCCGCCGCGGCTGGTAGGGCCCGGAGACTCCGCCAGTGCACGCTCGCGGCGGGCCACCGAAGCCACAGAGGCTCTCCGCTTGCTTCTTATTGCAGGGGCTGGATTTGGGGGTGTTCTCTGATGTCATTCCTTGATGAGGGGAGGTCGTGGATTGCTTGGACCACAGAGCAGTCAGCTGAGCCCGGGACGCATGCCAGCACCAGCGCCTCCCCAGAGGGTGCACCCTCCCTAGAGGGTATAGGTAGCCAGTGCCGAGGCCGCTCCAGGAGCTTGGGAGCTCTGGTCAGGGCCTCCCGGGTGAGCAGGTCAAAGCCACGCTGAGTGCTGCGGTGTAGATGAAGCCACCCCAGCTGGGGAGGACGGAGTCTGGGGAGGGCTCTGAGGGAAGGGTGGAGACAGAAACTCTGACGACAACAAACGGGCACCAGGAGCGGCGGCTTCTCACCCCCTCACGCTTAGCGCCACACCCTGTCCGCAGGGTCCCTGGCCACCCTGCCTCCTGAGTGTCCCTGTTTGTCCTCCAGGAACTGGGCTCCCGGAAACCACGAGGGAGAGTTACTTTTTCCTTGCGTTTTACTGTCTTTACTGATCTTCGGGGGAAATGTCTTATGCCTAACCCTGGTCCTCTGGCACACGATCTAGCACCCAGCCCCCAGTGCCAGAGAAGGCTTGAAATCAGAGAAAAATCAGAGCAATGAAGAGAACAGATTACAGGTGTGCGGGGACAGTCATCCTAGCACTTGCTGAGAGCTAGGGTGTCACCGCCACGAGCTTGGGGCGCGTCCCGAGGACCAAACCACCCGGTTCCAGGTCATGAGCTGGTGGAGGCTCAAGGATTCCCCCCAGAACCTCTGCCCCCATGCCGAGTTCCATGTGAGAGCTTCGGCCAGGGCCGCCCCTCCCTGCTGTGTGAGTCCATCATTCCAGCCAGAAACGAAAACGAAGAGGAAAAGGAGAAAACGTCATCATCGACCCAGCCCTTCCTTAATGACCCGTCACCGCTGGCTTTTGCCTTTGTCCAAAACGTGGCTTCTCTTCTACCCAAGGGAGGGGATCAGGCTGCCCTAGGCCACCCGAAGGGTCTCGTCGCCCACGTGAAGGCAGTTCCTGAAAGAGGATTCACAGACTTATATTGTAACCTACCCATTCTTCCATCAGGTGAGAGGCTAAATCTCACGTCAAGGTGGCCCAGCTTCCGGGGCAGAGTGAGGCTTGAGGCTGAGACCCTCAGTAGAAAGACACCAGTGATGTGAGTTTATTGAAATCTCATATATCGAGGTGATGACTTTGGAGGGAACAGCCAAACTGTGGGCTCACTTGTCGGCTGACAAATCGGTCATGAACATCTATGGCAGGGGAAATTTTAACACGGAACAGGCAGGATATGCCCTCACTTTCCAGAAGCTTCTATAGGGTCAGTGCCAAGGGGTTTTGCCCACAGTGTGAAGATGAGTCTGTGAAATTACCTGCGGTCTGAGCACACACCCCGACCTGCACAGGATGCCTCATTCACTTACTCAAACAAGAGATTATGAATTGCTCCCGAGCCAACCAGACCCAAAGCCAGCAAGGGACACAAACCAGGGAGGGGAAGGCTGTCCCGCGGACTGTCCTCCAGACCGAGGGGTGGGCAGGGCTGGGAGCAGCAGAGAGGGCAGTGCAGGCAGCCCAGGGAGGCCAACCGCCCGTCAGCCGCATCGGTCCATCTGGTAGACCTTGACCAACAGCTGGGCAGCAGCCCCCCTCCAGCCTCCCCCTCCGTCTTTTCTCTCCTCGGTCAGCACAACGCACACCACGGCGTAGTCAGGGAGGTGCTCACGGATGAGTGGGTGGAATTTATCCTTAAGCTCTAAGACCACCTGAGGGACTGTAGGTAGAAATGTGACAAGATCCGCTTTGCCTTTCTCCCAAAATCTGGAAAAGATGAAAGGTAGACTCATTCTTTCTTTCATCCATTCATTAATCCACTGAACACCCGTTTGAGGAGATTCTACTACGCGTAGGGTTCAGCACTCAGCAAAAGGCCACTATGATGGGCAGGAGACGAGCTCACTGAAGAGCCAGGGCTGGACGCATCAGGCGCAGAATCACTCAAACACCCAACAGTCCGGCTTGTGCCCGCGCACTCACAGCAGACGGACGTGGCTTAAGCGCTGCTTAGCAGTTCATCGAGTCTCACCTGTGTGCTGGGGATTACATTGGACATGGGCACTCAGCTTCAGCAAAGCCCATTTTGACAAGACATCACGGCGGCAAACCCCACAGGGTGTGAGCCTGACAACGCGCTATGTGCCAGGCGGCTTCCAAGACAGCGATGTTTCACTGCGGGAAAATGCAGACAGCATCCTGCTTATTCTCCACGTCGACACCCCCCCCCCCACCGTGGACATTGTCCAGGAAGGATTAGCAGGAGGGCATCAATTTACAAATGAAACCAGACCCTCTTCTGCTCTGGGGGATAGTCTTCAAGTCTAAAATTGGACATGTCCTGCACCATCTCAGGCTCAGTATCGCTTCCAAACCTTCCTAACAACACTCCCATGCCCCAAAGTGAAGAGAATCTTGTCCGACCAAATTCTCCTCAAATTCAAAATGTTGCTACGCACTCACGGCCCTCATCGCTAAGCAGCATGGGCGTGTGCAGGGAACACGGGTGTGCAGCCCCAAACCCTCCGCCCCTGCACCTCACCCTTGGCAAATACAAGTGTGAATAAATCGGACGGAAAGTCCTTTGAAAGGAGCTTTGAAGCCGAGCGACGCGGCTCTGCAGGCAGAGGGGAGAGGCGCGGGCGACCCGACCAGGCGCGCTCGTGCTGGCCCTGACGCTCCCTCGCGATCTGACCTTGAGTAAATCGTCTCCTCGCGGTGCCTCCTCTCACCCACCCTGTAAATCTGAGCTTAGCACTGACCCTCCGTTACCTCGTGGGTGCGCCGGGAAAAGAAATGAGGTAACACGGCTGAACTTACGAGGAAACCTGGAGCGCTTGCAGGAAAGAGTGACAAAGATGATTAAGAAGCTGCTGGATTCCTTGAACAAAGGTTACGTGGCACTCAAGATCATTTAGACTGAAAAAGAGAACACCGAGGAGTGACTTAATTATGTCCTCCATGTACGGCGATATTTTCATGTTGATCTTGGTCTTTTTCTCTCTTGCACGCTCTCCCCTCCCCCCTCCCCCCGCTCGCTCCCCCTCCTGACCAGCAAGAAGAGCCGCTGTCCTTACCTATCACTCAACCCCTCCCGACTGGACCAGACTATTAGCCCCGTGACTCCACCGGGCCTGCTCGAAGGTTCCTGCCCAGCGCCTCCTCCACCTCAATCCCTCCCCCGCCCCCGCGGCTGCTGACATTGATCTGAAAATCCCCCACCTCGTGCCCAATTTCCTGGCTCCTGGATCACCTAGAATTGTTAGAATAAAATACAGAATCGTGCAAACTTGTCATGTAACAAAATTCTTGTTAACCTAAAAGCACTCCTCTTAAATTCCTCTTCACCCTCTCCTGTGGCAGCTCTGTCAGCAGTGGCCTGACCTCGAACTTGACTGGAAATATTCAGACCATTAGAGCCACTGATAGGAGAGAGGGGGCCACGGAGAGGGCCAGGGAGGGGCCCAGAGGGGCTGCAGGAGGGCCGCGCGTTCTAAAACGGGAAGACACTGAGCAGGCCCAGGGCATTTGCCAGAACCTTGTGATTTAAATCCAACCTCCTGAGCTCAGCAAGAAATATTAGAATTCTGTCACCAACAGGAGACGCAGGCGAAAGGGAGCAGCTCTGGTAGACTGTGCTAGGACTCGGTCTCCGTCGCGCTGTCCAGGAATGCCATGGTGAAGGCGCAGACCTGCTCACAACAAGCAGGCAGAAGACGGTCTCTCTGCCCCTCGCTCAGCACCTGCCAGTCCGCTGGCCCGGGAGGCGGGCAGGCCGGCACAGACGAGGCCACGGGCTCCTATTCCTCATGATAGAGCCCAGATTGCTCTGGAGGGGCCTCCAGCTCCTTGTGATGTGGCAGTGGCCAGCCTGGCCAAGCGGCCGTCCCTCCCAGTCATGTCATGCGACCACCCATCAATAGGGAACAAGCACAGGGAACACTGGCACCAGAACTGACGTCCCAACCCTGGCCTCTGCTCTGTACTCGTCAGTGTCAGGGAGGGAAACGGCGGTTTTAGGAATGGAGGCTTTGTCGTGCCTCATAACCCAACCTGCACATCTGCACACAGAGAACGTGCTTCGGGAACTCCTGCATGTCCGAGCGGGCACTCACTTGCCAAAATGCACATTGTTGCCCCTTCCAGGCCGACGGGCCCTCCCCCAGGAGCCCCGCATCACCGGGAAACAGTGGTGGACGCTGGTTCTGCAGCTGTGTCTGTCCCCTCCCATGGCATATCTGAGTCTCATGGGCCTAAGGAAACCTAAGTGAAGAGGGGAAGCTGGGTGGGTGCTCCATTTTTCCAGGAACACACTCCATTTTTCCAGGAACTGGGCTGCAACTGTGTTCCGTTGAGCCCCAAAGTAGCCTCCGTTCCCATCGTCCCATCACTTGAGTCCCTTGTGGACATTTCCAGACAGAGCGTCTGTCACCCTCACGAGGCTGCCACCCTGGTGCCAAGGACTCTCCGGGACAGTGCTGAGGGAAGGCGCCTGGAGACGGTCCGCAGAATCCTGGCCCCGAGACGGCCGCTTCCCAGCCCTGCCTAGGCCCTCCCGCCAGCCTGATGCGCCTGGGCAGGGGCCGGGGGCTGGGCTTAAGGAGACCCCCTCGAGTGTTCCTGACAGGAAGGGGTTAATCTTGTAACCTCTTCCGGCCGTACCCCAGTCCGGGTTGTCAAGGGGGGAGATAAGCACGGGGCTATTTTCCGGTTTTGTTTCACTGTCTGTCAGGAGAGTGGGCCAATTTCATACCATTTGCCGCTTTCATTACTGTCTCAAGGTTGTCAGAAGAATTGATAAATTTCAGACTGTTTTTCTTGTCCTCATTACAATCTTAAGGTTGTCATGAGAATAAATTGATTTTGTGCCATTTTTGTCCTCATTACAGTCTTTGTCATGAGAATGGCTTCATTTGGAGCCATTTTTGTTCCTGCAGCCATTTTCACCACCAGAGAAGAGATTCCTCCTCAGGCAGAAAGAGCCCGTCCAGGGCTGACCGCTGCGCTGGGCGCCTGCGAGGCTGGGGAAGGGGCGCCCGTCCCGCCTCAGGAGGAGTCTGTCGGGCTCTCTGAGGTCCTGCAGGCCTGGAAACAGGACAGCATGGCTCTCACCGCCAGTTGCTGCACTTGCGGATTGTCCCTCCTGCGGGACAGAGAACGTTCTAGATGCCTCTAGAGGGCTTCCAGGCAGAGCAAACAGGTGATCCAGAAGGAAAAGCACCAGGAGGCACAGAGGCAAGCGGACGTGACATCCCTGAGACACGGGGGTGGTGGCTCCGACGCAGGCTTTAACAGCACCTTCACATGGCTCCACCCCACGCCTGTGCCGGGAACACGGAGAAGCTGTCCCGCAAACGTCTGACTTTCCAAACACAACACAGTAAATAGCCCAAAATAGGCTTGATTTCCCTTAAGGGAAAAGGACTCAGGTCCGAGGGGACTCAAAGTAGATGATGGCAAACGGGCCCCTCCCACGCGGACGGCGACCCCGTGTGTGAAAGCAGAGTCGCAGCTTTCCATGCGGTCGCATGTTCAAGATGAGCAGCGGGAAACTGGCTTGAGCTTTGAGGAGCTTCCTGCTGGAGATACGGCCACAGCTGGAATTTAAGAGAAAAGCCCAGATAGTCGGGGGTGGGCTTGTGTTGTCAGAGAGGACAGCAGCGATGATGTCGGTCTATCTACTGGCCACATTCAAATCTAGCAGTCAGTGTTTATCTCCTAGCTTGTTTATATATAAAATACAGCCATTAGATAACTGAATTAACTATTGGCCACGAGCTAGAGAGACAGGAAGAGGATTAGCTAAAGGCAATAGACAAGCTTCATGGTCTCTACTATCATGGTCTCTACTATCAAAGGAAGGCGCATCCATACCACAAACCTGCTAATATTGTCAGGCCCAGGTGCAGAGTTAGATTGGGAATCACTCATGTCTTTTAAGGGATGGAGGGTTATATGATATGGGGTAGATCCATGCAGTGGAATACTATTCAGCCATGAGAAGGAGTGAAGTACTGACACGTCCAGTACATGGCTGAGCTAGTACCTGGTGCATGTTCACATTATACCACGTGAAATACACCCATCATGAAGCCCATGTGTGGTAAGAGTCCCTTTACACGAGAAGTTCAGAACAGGTGAATCTGGAAAGAAAGCAGAGCCATGCTGGCCTCAGACTGTTGGGAGAGGGGGAGAGGGGTGACGACTAATGCAACGGGCACAGAGTGTCTTTGAGGGTGATGGGAATGTTCTCAAGTCAGGTCACAGCGATGGCCGCGTAACCTTACACATTCGCTAAATCCATTCAGCTGCACAGGTATATTTTATAGAACATAATTCATACCCGGTTTTTAAAGAGTAACTGACAGGTTTGGACACGTCTCCCCGGGAGGCTGCAGGCCTGGCCGAGGCAGGGAGCTTGGGGAGGAGTCGGGGAGATGCGCAGAAATGGGCGGGTCAGCGTGTTCTTTAAGTGAGGAGAAGGTCACAGTGTCCCAAGCGCCGCCGCGCGAGGAACCGTCAGGCGGGGGAAGCCGGGCCGTGAGGTGAGGCGGGCTGCACTGAGGCATTAACGGGCAGCAGACGGGCAGGACGAGCTGGGCGGACCCGCGCGGAAAAGGGAGGACAGAGCTGTCTCCAGGGAGGCAGCAGGGGGCAGCCGGCTCCGCAGACGCCCCAGGTGAGCGGCGCGGGCCCCGGCGGGGCGGGCAGGTGCGCGGGAGACCCCGCCCGCGGTCAGAGGCGCCAACGGCCCCTCGGCGGAAGAGGGGTGTCCACCCCTCCCGAGGCCCGGGAGTCAGGGGTGAGACGGGCGTCTCCTCAGCGAGGCCGGGCAGGCGGCGGGAGCCCGACCCGCTCCGGAGCCCGGGGAGAAGCGCGGACGGAGGCCCCGGCGGTGCGGACACGAGGCCCGGGCGGTGCGGTCAGCGCGGCCCGCGCAGGTGGCGCCGGCGACCGCGCTCGGGGGCCCTGACCACGCGGGGCGAGCGGCCTCCTGACCGCGGGGTGCAGTCGGCAGAGGCGACGCGTCGGACGAGGACCCCGCGAGCTGGCCGCACCCCGCAGCTGCCCCGGCCCCGCCTGCAGACTGGGCGCTCCGGCCCCGCGCGGCCTGGAGGGGCCCCGGGCGCGGGCGCAGGACCGGCCCCTCGCAGAGGCCCCGCGGCGGCCGCCCGGCAGGACCGACCCCTCCCCTCCCCGCCTCGCGACCGCGGGGGGCCCCCCACCCCGGACGGCGCGCAAGGAGCCCCCCCCCCCCCCCCGGGGGACCGACCAACCCCGCGGGAGACGCAGGCCCCCGACAACCTGATCGCCGAGGCCCTGCCAAGTGACCCCTAATTTTGAAGAAGCCGTCCATTCCCAGCAAACCGACTGACGCGCTGCCGGGGGCCCGGCCAGGGCGGGGCTCGCCCGCTCCCGGGGCGCCCCGACACGTGCCGGCCTGCGCCCGAGAAACCTCCTCTGGGCACAGCTGGGATTTGCTCATTGAATCAGCCGTGACACCATTCACTCCCCGAGGAAAAGCCGGACCTGCCCTCGCCACGCCGGTCTCCTGAGCGCGGCGCCCCAGGACTCGCGGGTCCCCCAGCGCCCCCGCAGGCCGCCGGCCAGAGAGCCCCGGCCCGGCCCCCGCGCCTAGCGGCACCTCCTCTCCCAGAGGCGCCCCGAGGCGGCCCCGAGGCCCCAGCGCGGTGACGGGGCGCTCGCGTGGAGCCGGGTCCCCGGGGCTGCACCCCTCGGCCGGCGCCGGATGCGCGGGGCTGGTCCGTGGGGCCAGCGCCCGGGGCCCTGCCAGCCGCACCGGCGGCGTCTCCCTGAGCAGAACCCCAGGGGCGCTCTGAGCGGCTCAAGCACGCCCAGCGCCTCAGAGAGGGGCCGCGTTCGCGGACGGGGCTCCCCCGGGAACCTGGGGAGTTTCC